TTGACACGAATGTTCGCAACAAAAGCCGCAATGAGTTGAAGACAGTGGAGACGAAAGCGAACGACTCGACCATTGAGGACAGGCTGTCGTCGATCAGCGCCGACAGCTCTATACCCGATGTGCCGGAAGTGGATTTGGCTCACAATGAGAGCAAAGGGCGCCAAACGAACAAAAGAGCGAACAGTTTATCGCCAAATAGTCGAAGACAGTCGACCGGTAAGAGCGATGACGAGAGTGCAGACAACTTCAGTGATTGGAGTGAAGGCGAGGACGAGCTTCTCCTGAAGACCGACGGCTTCGAGACACTCGACGAAGTGTGCAATATATCGGACAACTCTCTGGGGAAAGGTATGTGTGTTTTGTGTGGAAATTTACTTTGAATAACAAGTGATAACTTATTCTGTGAACCGTTTGTCTGCTTCTTTTTGACGGCAATTGATTGCTGTATAGACTCGTGGAATGGAAAGTCAAGGCATTCAAGCCATTCAAATGAATTAAAGAGTAGTAGACGAGAGTCTCATAGGAGTGATAGGGATAGGGATAGGGAGTCGTCGAGCGCTCACAACAACAACAAAGACGATGCCTTAGAGGCAATCAGTGACGACGAATTGGATGCCATTATCGGCGACTCAGATCCCAGTGCTGTTGACACGAGTGTCGACGCAAAGACGTCGAGCTCGAGCCGACAGGTGTTGGACGCGTTGGATATCGATTGGGGAAGCCTTGTGACGGAACCCAAAGCCAAACTGGAGTTCATTCCGGGGTCGGCGCGCAAGAGGTTTAGCGCCGCCAACGTTCTCATGCGGATCGGCTTCTCTCAGGCCTACGCCGGCCAACAGATGACGCAAAAACTGATCGACTTCTGTCAGAGCGAACTCAAGGAGGAGTTTGTGCCCTTCCGTCACCCCATGGCTGCCGTCCACTCCATACTCGGCGAACGCATCAAAGAGCGCCTAAACCTGTTCGGCTCCGACACCACTCCGGCCACTGTATTGAGCGGCCGAAAGGAGTTGCAGATCAGGAAAATGTTGAACAAATCCAACTGTAAGTTGAGTGACAATTGTTTGACTACCAGTGCGATGACAGCAGCGGCGGCGACGACGACGACACCTCAATCGACAGCCACTTCTACTACCACTCCGCCAGTGAATGAGTTATCAGTTTCGTCGACAAATCCAATTGGAAGTCATGTATCAGACATTGAATGCTTTTAGAGATTAGAGACTGTTTTCTTGTTGCGAGTAATGTATAAAAGTGACACAAAATGCAAACCCTTTTCTTAATTTATATGTAAGTAAACACACGAATGAATGCAATGAATAATAAAAGTATGACATTAACGAGAGAAACATCTCAAAAATGGGACCATTTTTTGTGCGCTTTTCGTTAATTAATTATCTTTTTTGCCATTTTTTCTAATGTATTATTAATGAAAAGAAAACCACATTTTATGATAGAGTGTACGGAGAGAAGGGATGAGACCTAAAAGTTTTTGATGTAATTATAAGTAATGATAAGTCGAGCGAAAAGTAAATTACATTTCGGGCCATAAAAGCGTTGGTTATATTGTATTCTTCTTGAGCTGTGTTTCCTTCAGAGAGAAAGACAGAGCGGGTGTACAGCAGAGTGTGAGTGAGTTGTTGTTCAGTGCAGTACTTATGTCTGATTTTGATGATCTTCTGGTGCGTTAACAACAGTAGACTTTCTAATAGAGGTTTTTGGGCATAAAACTGGTGAGACATTTGAGTCAAACTATCATTAAATAGTGAGCAATACTTTGGCAAAGAGAGGGGAATGGGATGAATGAGAACGGCTTTATCGATGAAATGAGGATCACATTAATCACAGCTCCAGTATATTTCTCTCTCTCTCTCTCTCTCTCTCGCATGTAGACTATATGATGGCATTTGTGGTGCAATCGCTTATCTCTTATCCCTTTCATTGCGAACCAAACACTACAACAGAATAAAGAGAGAGAGAGAGAGAGAGAGAAATTCTGTGCGAATGAATAGTATATTATATATGAATACTATGTTGCGTTTAGTTGTGAAAATCATAAGACATGTTATTTTATGAGTTATTTTGGGCCCAAAAATAGACGAAAAATAGGAAGAGATCTCTGTTTTATAGATAAAACTCGTCGTCTCTGAAGACCTCTGAAGATGAGATGAGCAGAGAATTAAGTGAACTTTTTTCTCGTATGTTTCGATTGAATGGATAACAAAAGATTAATCGTATGGATAACTGCTTTCGAATTTTGGGATCTATTGATGTGATGTTATATAATGATAGCCAATGTGTTTGGAGAATACTTCGGGAGAGAGAGAGAGAGAGAGAACACTAAATACTAACACAAATCTGTTTAAAACCATTAACACCTCTCACAATAAGCGCTTAACTTATAGCTCTTTTAATGCATAAATTATATGTTTAGTGAGAGAGAGAGCACTGGGAGTGACTCCGGGATCTACTAGAGTGTCAGCCCAACAACGCTAATGCCATATAAGATATGTATAATAAGACGCGATAATACATAAACACTCAAAAAACTAAACTAATCGTTGCTTATAATCAAAAACCAAAGCCTCTCTCTCTCTCTCTCTCTCTATCGCAGTGGTAGTTGTGATAAGAGATTAACTGTTATGAGTAGTGAATAGAATTGATAGCAATGAACATAAGCTTTAAGTGTTGTGTATATTATATATATTGCATACGGAATCTGAGAAACAACTATTTGATAGCAACGATGCCAGCGATGGCTTTGTGATGAGAGTGGTGTAGAGCCAGTGCTGGATGTGCTGCCTGTGGACAACTGATAAGACCTAACCGATCGAAACTAACGCTCCGTATCAATGGCACAATCGAGAGACAGCACTGATTCGACCAAAATATACACATTATATCACTAATACGACTCTCTCTCTCTCTCTCTCTCTCTCTCTCTCAGCCTTTTCATTCACTCACTTTAACTTTCCTACTGTTCCTGTATTGCAATTCCTGTAGTCCTATTCCCTTTCCCATATAACGTATACTGTAATACTTAAAGTTAAGTCAAAAATTTTCTCCCATTTCTATCTAATAATAACGAAATTCGATCAAAACTACAGTAAAGGAAAACGTTGTGAACATTACTGAAGAGTGGAGGCGAGTGCGAGAGAGAGAGAGAGAGAGAGAGAGAGAGAGATGGCATCAGAGAGTTTTGATTATATGTTAGGCCTAAATATAGGCAATATATAGGTTCTCTGTATGGCTATACAGTACTCAGAATTAGCGTTATATTTGCGATAAAAGTATACAATTCTGTGTTTCATACGGAATCCTCGCCCTAACAACTGATTTAAGACTCATTTATTGATATATTGTGGACATCAGAGCCTACTCTAAGTGTTTGCCCAAAAAACTGTTGTGTAAACAATAAATACATTTCGCTATTATTTGGAGACATCATTAGCTTTAAAATAAGTGAAAACTTTTTTGTTGGTACTGTTGTTGTTGTGATGTATTTGTATTGAAAGAGTGGCAATAATTCAAACACAACTAACATAATAATCATAATAAATTGTAATTTTAGGTAATTATTATTGTAGGAGAAAAGTGGAGTATTTTTTGCCACAGAATAGCAGTACAAATAAATAGCAACAAAAAAAAGTTCTCCAAAATAAAAATGTGTCAAAGATTTGATCACCAGAACTGCTAATCTTGTTATCAGATTATTCATTGTTTTTATATATATAGTGCCGTAATTTTATAGTTGAAAACCAGTTAAGTCTTTCCTTTTATAATTGTTTTTTGTGTTCATTTATTGATTACTCTCCTTTCATAGCTATAATAGTATTTTAGAGTCATATTAATTAAGATATAGTTATCGTACTAACAATAATAATAAGTTACGATAAAAATCCATTGCTATAAACGCCACACTATTTATACACACCATGAATAAAATACTCGTTAGTTTTTCGGATACTTTTTTCGACTCATTTTAGCGATTTATTGAAGCGTTTAAAAAATGCATTTTCGCCCCAAAAAAAGCTATTAATATTGTTTTGAAAATAAATAAATAATATTTATAAGGGATGAGAGGTTAGCGAAAATTGTAGTGTGAGATGTAGTGTAAAGGGTATTGTGAGATGTGATTGAATAGTATAGCGGAGGCCGTAATGATAGCAATATTGTTGTGTTTGGGATAACATAGGGAACAGACATTACATCTTATGATATATTAATCCATTCGTTCGTATCTTTATTGGTGAAGAACTCATCAATGCGTGAATTGGTGTCATTGTCTTAGAAAGTTTAGCCATCCGTAAGACATTCGGTGCTCTCTCTCTCTCTCTCTCTCTCTCTCTCATCAATGAGTGAATGGGAAGAGAGTGAAGGCATTTATAACATATATAACGGATATTTCACTTACTATTTCAGTCATATTAAACAAAAGTCAAACACCAAAACAAAAACATTATTCATACTATAGGAAATGAAATGCAACTCAATTTTAGGGCTAACGCTATATAATTCAGTGTCGGATCTGACAGCAGATCCACAGCGAAAATAATACAAAAGACTTTTCGTAAAATGTAATGCAATCGAAAGAAAACAAAGTTTTTATTTTGTATTAAGATTTAAGACGAAAGAAAAATAGGAGAAAAAGAAATCAAATATAAAAATAAGAAGAAAAATTGAAGGGATTTCACGGAAAAGGAGCGAAACATAGCATTAAATATATAAAAAGTATATCAAAATCACTACAATATTATTGTTAGTGTTAACAAACATTTCTATTTTATAGTATCATTCAGTTCTCTACTCGCTATCTCATGACTATCTTCTCTCTCTCTCTCTCTCTCTCTCTCTCCAGCCCTCCCTCTCAATCCCAATCCCAGTGCTCTCAGCAATTCCTATACAATACCGTCTGATTCGCCGCCCTTTTCGCGTCAATTCATCTTCTCTTATCTGACGAACAAAAGTTGAGCTCAAAATACAGTACAGACTGTGAGAGAGAATATGAGAGAGAATTGTGGAAACTAGACGTGAATTATAACTATCGGTTCGGTTCGGCTCAACACAAGAGATGAGTTATTATTTGGGATTAAAAATTAATATATTTTTCCTTTTAATTAGAATCGAGAAAAATTTTTCATTTAATACTTATGGTTATATTTTTTGTGTGCAATAATTATTACAAAATTATATAAATTAACGATTTTCTGTAACTAACTGAAACTCACTTAGTAACTATTCGTTGTTTTCATTCAAATAACTATTTAATAAATTTTAATTTACTATAAATTATATTTATTATTCAAAATAAGGACAAACATTTCCCATCATATTTGAAACCAAATCCGATCCAATGGCAATGTCTAGTGTTTACCCATTGTTTAAGAGTTGGGTTTTGATAGCATAGAGAATGCGCTCATCACTTATGCTCTTAACTACAGATTATATTCTCTATGTATTTGTATTTTTGCGATCAAAATATATAGTATTGTATCAAAACCATGCGAGAGAGAGAGAGAGAGAGGGAGAGAGAGAGAGAGACTAAAAAATATTTGAAACACCATAACTGGAAACCAGTTCCAAAACATTAAATTCCTGCATAATTATGATTATATATATAATATATTTTTGACGAGAATATATATATTTTTAATTTGATAGCATAGAGAATGCGCTCATCACTTATGCTCTTAACTACAGATTATATTCTCTATGTATTTGTATTTTTGCGATCAAAATATATAGTATTGTATCAAAACCATGCGAGAGAGAGAGAGAGACTAAAAAATATTTGAAACACCATAACTGGAAACCAGTTCCAAAACATTAAATTCCTGCATAATTATGATTATATATATAATATATTTTTGACGAGAATATATATATTTTTACAAAACTATAAAACTTTTCTGATCATTACTTTTGATTCATTTAACTCTTTTTTNGAGAGAGAGAGAGAGACTAAAAAATATTTGAAACACCATAACTGGAAACCAGTTCCAAAACATTAAATTCCTGCATAATTATGATTATATATATAATATATTTTTGACGAGAATATATATATTTTTACAAAACTATAAAACTTTTCTGATCATTACTTTTGATTCATTTAACTCTTTTTTAATTTTTGGTTGTAAATACCAGTTTTTG